ATACATTTATTGCTCTACCCAGAATCTAAAATTAATTTTCAACTTAATATATTTAAATTGATTGTTATATTAATTTTTGACAGATGGTCATATTATTTGTTATTGTTTTACGTAAAAAGTATAATAGTTAATGATATAATCAATGATTGATTTGTTGGATGGCTATTAAATATAAAAATTGAACTATTTCAATAATTATCATTTAAGTGGTCTATTTTATGAAATTAATATTTCAGTAACATTTTTAAATAAATTTAATGTCTAATAATTATAGATAATGTTTAATCATTAATTATTAATTATCATCAATGATAATAACATTTTATAATTTATGTATTTTTTTTTTTCATAGTAACTATTTTTTAAACAGGAAAAAAAAATAGACGTCTGATGCCAATATAATTTTTGTCCAGACATAATTCAAAAGAATAATGATATTACTTTGTAGAATTAACATTATTTTTTTTAGTTAATAGAAGATAAAATTCTATAAATTGCATTGAACTAATTTTTCTTGTATTTTAATGTTTAATAAATAGATTTATTAAATCTTTATTTATATAATCTAAAGCTATCAATTCCATAGATTTTATTTGTAAGTTTTATTAACAAACTAAAAACAGTTTTTAATTATATATATGTATAGAATGTAAATATTTAAATATGTATTAATCATAAGGCCTGTAAGTCTTTAGATTTAAAATGAACAAAATATATATTTAAAAATATTTAGTTTTTTTTTGAAAAATAAAACAAAATAATATATAGTAATATATTGTTCATCATGGTTGTATTGTTAGTATATTACAATCATAAATTGTTAGCAGTTGGCAATGTAAATTAATAATTAAATTGCAAAAATATTATTAATTGTGTAGTTGTATATTAAAATATGAAAGTTATGAAATGAAAATATTTAGCATGCATGTTTTTTTTTTCTAAAATAGACAGAATATGTTCAAATATGTATTTCAAATTTGTTATATTCTACTTTGGTATGCTATACCAAAGTTGAATATATAGAGAACATATTATAGACAAATATGTAACTTCCGGGCCCTAAGTATCATACTACTTTTATACATCCATTATCTTAAATTAATAATTGATAATACATACCACTGCTTCATAAGAAGGAGTTTCTTCAATCTTTTCACATATATTTTCTCTAGATTGTCTTTGCAATACCATATCATCAAGGCCATTTTCATACTTGCCATCTTTGCCTCTTCGTACCCATGGAAATCTTCTGCTAAAAGTCATTGATTTTTTTTTTCTTTCTAATGTTGATAACCGATCTAAGCTTTTGCTTTCGTTTCCTCGAAACTTAACAGATCTATCACGGGCTTTTTGTTTTCGCTCCCATCTCCGTTTGGATGGTATAATGCCAATACCTTCTTCTCGACCAGTAGCCAAAACTTTTCGTGCCTGCCACCATTCGTCATCACTTGCATTAGTAACATGAAGAATAGCACCATATTTGAATGGTAATCCAATACTAGGAAGACCATCATCACTAGATGGATCATAATCAAATAGTGTACGGACATATAATGTTTTTTTTTGAGTAGTGCGGATCAATGTACCACAAGAAGCAGCAAGTTGAGATTTTAATTCATGAATTTTAGCTTCAAACCTAAAAATATATAAATATTGCCAATAAGATAAAAATTAAAAAAAGTATAGCAAACCTAAATTTTAGTTATTTTCAAGTACCTGTTATAATCTTTAGGTCGATGTTGAACTGTTAACAAAACGGTTTGTCCAGCATTTTTAAGAGCATCAGCTGCTTCTTCATGTGTTGCATTATCCAAACTAACATCATTTACTTTAAGAATAGTATCTCCTCTTTTCAATTGTCCTGTTTGATCAGCTGGACCACCAGCAAGAATGAATGATATAAATATACCTTCTCCGTCTTCACCACCAACAATGTTAAATCCCAAGCCCCCTGAACCTTTATGTAAGACTACTGTCCTTATATCATAGTTTGGTAAGCTTTCATAACTTTTTACAGTATTTAATGTGTCTGTAGAATATGAATTTGGAATGTTATCAATGATGACTGGTGATGGCGCAGAATCGGTATATGTAATTGGTTCAGTTTTACCAATGACTAATAACACTTTTTCACGAGTATTTTTTAAGGTCCACACGGCTTCTTCGTGAGTTACATTTTCTAAATTACGGTCTCCAAGAAGAGTGTTTTTAACTGCAACTAATTTATCACCAACCCTTATTCTACCATCTACTTGGGCAGCACCTCCATCCATTATTTTAGTAACAAAAATGCCATTATCACCAGGTATGTGTTGATTGCCAATCCCACCCGCAATACTGAATCCCAGTCCCTGAAAAACATAATCTTTACTATTTTATATTATCATATACAAATTAAAAGTAATTTAACATTTTAAAATAAGACATGCAATTCACTTGGAAATAAAATAATTTATGTAAAATGCCAATATTAAATATCCAATTACTAATTAGAAAAAATTAAAATTAAATTCAAAGTATAGTAAAGTAAATATGATCAATGCAGGTCAAATGGCAGATTAGCCAACATATATTTGATAAATTTAAAAACATAATAAAAGTATATAATTAAATTAACCTATTATAATGGTCAATGGTAAAATAAATTAGAAATATTTAGTGATAGTGTTTAAAAATAATGATTTTTTATTGGAATACGATTTTGTTATTTATTCAATGTCAACATATCAGTTGTTATGGTTACAGAGAGTTTTGGAACAACCAATAAATAATTTGTACATGTAAAATTATTATCAACAAAAAAAGTTTAATCAAATATTTAATGCCACATATCACACTAAAATAGTTGCTTTAATGAGAATATAATATGGATCCAGAATATTCTTAAAAACATTTCAAGCAAAATAAGTCAAATATAAATAAAGCTAATTAATTAATTGAAAAAAAAATATGTATTCTCATACCAATTCTATTTAAATTATTATACTGAAAAATTAAAATTGTTTAACAATAAGAAAAAAAAATGATGATAGATTTACCTTAGTGCCTTTGCTAAGTTCTATTTCTAAGAGATTTGGTCCTAAGGGCAGCATATTTTTCTTGCGTTTTACACATAAAGTAACTCTTTGTCCTGCTCGTTTAAGTGCATCTACTGCAGTTGAATGTGGCACGCCAACAACTGGTGTATCATTGACTTTAGTGATGATATCATTGACACACAACCGACCATCTCGATAGGCTGTACCACCAGGAATTATTTTGGTAATAAATATGGACGTATCATCATCAGTTTGTGGATTGTCAGTACCTCCTGGACGCATGAAAAAAAAATCAAAGCACAAACATAAGTTAATCTGTCATCTCTCATATTAGCAGACATTTTTAAACAGCTGTATTCCACACAAATAGTTTATTATTTATTGGAGTGCTATTTATCAAACCTTGATATTACCTATCAATTTGTTAATGAAAGAAAAACTCAAAAACATACCAGCTATGCTGAAGCCTAATCCCGAGTCGCCTCTTTCCAAGGTGATCTCGTCGACGATCCATTCAGGTTTGGCGTTGCCGTTCATCTGACCGTCCAGACTGAACAACGACGACACTTTTCTGATCACACCATTCGAATTGTTTATTGGTTTCTTTTTGGTGGAAGATGACCGGTTGAGTTCTTTCATAGCGTTTAGCACCCGGACATCCGTCGGATGGCAAACGGGGCGGGTGAAGGACGGGGAGTCGGCACTGTTGCACGAGCCACAGAAAACGTTGACGTATGACTACCTACCTATTTTAGGAAATCCGTTTTTTTTTTTTTTTATGTATATTTATATTTTTACGACACCGCACTCGTACACGCACACACACACGTACGAACTCGCACTCACTGACGAGTCACCGCCTACCTACCCTATTTGTTATCGGACGGTACGCGGACACCGAGCGCGCGCGTGCATATCTGTTAACGGGCGACGAGTGAAGACGTTGAATGACGATGATATTAATATTTTACATTTAATATCTTTTCACTGGCGCTGCTACCGTTGCTGGGCGGAGATGACGAATACGACTGACAACCACTGCAGCTGCTCAGTGCACACTGCTTTAAAATATTACTGTCGACGGGGTACCGAAAACTAAGAAGTATACATAGTAGAAAAATGACAAATAAAATAATAATATTTTAACGGCTAATAATTTAATTTTTTCTGGGCTTTTCGATATTCGCTTCCAGCAGTAGTTGTCAGTCGAAGTCCAGTGGAATGTTTTAATTATCGCGAGAAAATTGTTTTATTTAAGAGTACACAACACACACACACACATACGCACACATACATACGCACGCACGCACGCAAGACGCACGCACGCACTACACACATATGAATTCCTCGACATAACGAAAACAATTGTTAGACTAGTGGTTACCAAAACTGTTGTAAACGTACACAATACGAGTGTCTACGCGGCCGCCGGTTGTGAACAACGATCGAAACTATTGTAATTTGTAATGCTTACGTATTATTATTATTAGTTTGTTATTACAAAGCATAACATGCCCGACTGACGTAGGTAATAGGTATTACTATCACGACTGTACATGATACATAAATACATAATGCGCATACGTAATTAAATAATACTCCTCAGTTATATTCGTATCGATGAGACATGGACATGCCCGGCAGAATTTCTACCGTTATTTTTTGCAATTTGGTATAAAGTCGATTTTCTGTTCTTATTTCACCATTGTGTCAGCGTTCTCTACATATTTTACTTACTACGTCAGATTAAAAAAAAAAAAATCGCTTTATTCAGTTATTATTTGTTTTGTTTGTTTTTTTTTTTTTTTAATATTATCGCATTAAGCGCTTACGGTGTTTTATTTTGACTGGGAATCTGATATAGATAATTGGTTATCGGCGTGTTATCACTTATTACACTCGTGCGACTAGAAGATAATAACATATGCATAGTCCATGCTAAAAGTTATAGTATTATCATTTCTTCATTTCATAAATCTCTTCAGTTCTTCACTCTTCGGTCTTCGCAGTTTCATAGCTCACGTGCTCGACTTATCGAAGAATTGTTACTATTTTTTTTATATTTAATTGCACACTGTCGAATTGTATTCATAATAATGCCCAGCTACGAGTTATGTTTGCTGTTTAAAGTCTTGCCAAGGGTAATGTACATATTATATTAAATATTTCTATTTATCTATGTATAGTACATCAGCATTCGCCGAGAGGTTGAAAAAAAAATTAGTTTTGTCGTATCGTTGAAACTATTAATCAATGTTTCAGTCTCTAAGTCTAAGATTCATGTTTAGTGAACTATTTAATATTTTTTTAAATAAATTATACATATTAAGTATTAAATAATAATTTACAACCTAAGTTATTTGTAATTTGTTACAATAATTACACAAATCTTATGATGAGTTAGTTACCTGTTAGTGTAATAGCTCTAATACTCTATAATATCTATTTATTTATTTAAAATTGGCATTTTTTTTAAAATACCTATTTAATAATAAGTTACGTTTTTCTTCAAGTTTGCGTCCTGTAGAAAGGCTCGTCAGTATATTTTATTTTGGAATTTTTGTTTTATTTTTTATTTTGAATATAGATATAATATATAAGGTGATTTACCAAATTGCCACAGATTAAGTTAGATTAAAATTAATTTATTATTAAATGAAAAATTGGGAGAAAGAGTTGAGCATGCATAGTAAATTATCATTTATAATATACATAGGTATTTATTTTTTAACTATAAAGATTTTTCATATTTGTTTAAATAGTCTTTAAAATGTACTATATTTATAATATAAATATTTTTTTTTCAATTCTTTGTCTGATTCTTTTTTTACATTCAACATTTTTTTTTTTATAATATGTTGGATAAATAATTAAAAATATATAATTTTATAAGTAAGTCAAGTATTTATAAACCTGAGGTTTGTTAAAATTTATTCTCTTATAGGTATAATATTTATTTTCTCTGATTTTATATCAATATAAATCATTCAAAGAATAACTTTCATAAACATTTTTTGAAGAAGTAAGGTAAAATCCTTTGAATATAATTAATAATATAATTCCTCAAAATTAAATTTAAATGATATAATAATATCTGCAAACGTACAGATACAAAAAAAATACTTAAAATTTCATAATAATTCATAAAATTCTAGTATGATTGTTGAAAAATTCAATAATTTTAATCAAAACTTTAACTCGTTGTCATTCGGTCAATTTTAATTTTAGAGTTATGGTAAAAAGGACCAAATTGACTAAAAAAAATTCGGTTTATCAGAATTTGGTATTTTAAACATCTGTTGCCATTTAAAAAAATGCAAGTTGTATTGCACATGTGCGCACGGAAAGATCTAAAAATGTAAAAATCATCAAGAAATGTGTATTTATGTACTCCCTATCTTTCCCAAAAACCACATATCAATCTGATATCACTGGGCAGAATTATTTAGTGTTAACTTTAAAAAGAATCACACTGTTTATTATGAACCCCTTTAAAATCAATAAATAAATATTATAAACAATATTTTTTTATTAAAAATTAAATTAGTAAATCAATATATTATGTGAAATATACAGTATTGTAATTTGAAAAAAAATTTTAATTTCAATTTAATTATTTTTTAAAGATAAAAATAAATTAAAATTTTGTAAATTTTTAATGAAATTAATTTATTGAATATTGTTTAGTTATTGGTTATTATCTTTAGAAATGCATTGAGTACTTTAATTTAGGAAATATTTACTTTACTGTTAAATAGAAACCATACTTATAAATTTTTATTTTTATTTTTACATTAATTTGTATTTATTTTCTGTAAATCAACTATGATAATAGCCATAATATGTGATAGATTATGTTTATGAATAAAAAAATACCCACCATTGATCATATGATGACATTTTAATTTTTTAAATCTAGTTTTAATGTCAAATGGTTAAGTTGATAAGATTTTTTGCATCATTTTAATAGAATTATATCTATTTCTTCTGTAATTTTAATTTTAAAATCTGAATAAAGAAATTAAAACATAGACAATTTTACACTATATTAAATTAAATAAACGATGCATATTTTTTAATATTTTTTCCAGTCATAGAATACGCTGATTTCTGTAAAACTACAGTGTGTTCTCTTACTATACAGTATATAATTTATAATTTATTATTATTTTATTTCAAATTAAAATATTTACTTTTAATTGTACTTGAAACAATTTATAGTTAAATTGAAACTTTTTATACTACTTAACATTGACTTTAAGTTTCTATATTAAAGATTAAGTTATGCGTGTTATATAGTATTATTTTTTAAAACATGTTATTCATATTGTGTTATATTTCATAGAATGATATACTTGCAATATAATGTTCTATAATCTTATTACTTTAAGCTGAAAGCTAAAGACAGGTTTATAAGATCATGCAGTTACTAGTTACATAATAACAATAAAGACAAAGTTACTACTTACTTGTAAAAAATTTTTTTATTTTACACTTGCTATGGTTATGCACCTATTTTTTGCTAATCTTTAGAAAATTATTATCTTTTGTGTTTTTATATAGTTTTGAGCACTGCCTCAACAAAAATTAAATTATAATTTAACTATTTTATTTGCTAAAATATTATTTAAAACCACTCAAAAACATTTAATATGTGTTTTATTATTAATTATCTTTAATCCAAACACATTGATAAATTGTTCTATGGACTATAGGTAGAGAAACTTTATAAAATATCTAGTAAAATATAGTATTCTTATTATCCAAAAAAACATTTATGTATAACAAATATATTTAAAACCAATAAATTCCTTTCTCTGTTAAAATGTATATATTAATATATATACATTTTTGATGTATAATTTAAAATTATCTTTATATTATATTAGATTAAAATTTTTTGATTCCTTGATTTAAATATATCATAATATTGAATGTACATACTGTATACAAAAAATAAAAAATATATTTAAATAACATATTTATACATATTTTAGAGTTAATTATGATCATTGTTTTGATAATTGACGGCTAAATGAAATCACAATAAAAGGAAAAACATTTCAGTACTTGTATACTTAATTATTTGCTTTACCAGTTTATAATAGACGGACTTTTTAGAAATGGTATTTGTTTTTAAGACAATACTCATGTAACAATAAATACAAACATTTTGTACCTTTTCAAAACATGCATGTCAAAAATTAGTTATTTCTATATACTTAGTAAGTATCTAATGTATTGTTTTCATTATAACTTATTTATTATTTTGTTTAAAAAATATTTGATAATAAATATAGTTTGAAAAGTATTTTGATATACCTATTTCAATAGTTATCAATTCAATTATGCAAAGTTTCAAATATATTCAAACAATATATTGTCGGTACTTTTATAATATTATTATTGGTTTTAGATTCATAATCATTGATGTTTCTTATTTATAATTGATAGACTAGTATATTACAAATAAAATAGTATTTGAATTATTTTTTATAAATCTGTCTTAAAATACCACTAATGAATGAACTTTTGTTACTTTCAGCCTGAAATAACACAATGCCTAAAACGAACAGCCAGTAAAATTTTTGAATTTGGTGGATTTATACGGCGTATAGACAACCTAGGAACGACAGATACTCCTTGGAAAATAATTTCACATGATGCAATACATAAACAGGCTAGCTATTTTATTGTTGAGTTTGACGCACCTAGTTCAGCTTTGAGTCCATTCAATAACTATTTATCAAGAGACATTGATATAATAAAACGAACAATATTTAAAGTTCCTGAAAATACACCTCAACCAGCTTGCACACTACATGAAGAACTCAAACCACCAGCATACAGGTATGTTAAATAAATTAAGCTAACAGATAAAATAAATTTATGATTTATGAACTTTTCTTTAGGTCTGAGGTTAAAGAGATGATTGCAATTGGCAAGCGTAAACGTGAAAAAGAAGCAAGAAAGAAAGTACAATTTAACACTGGTTTGGATTACATGCCGTTTCAAAGATAAATTCATGTTAATTGTTAATTTAATTAATATTGTAAATATATAGAGGTATTTTTTAGTAGTTATATTAATAATATTAAAATGATACAATTTGTATACATTTGAAGTTTATTGTTTTATCTTGTTTACTTACAATTCAAAACAATAGTTATAAGAGTTGACTAATATACAATACACAACAAAAAACATAACAGAAGTTTCAGAAGTTTCAACATTCAAATAAATTATAAATAGCTAAAATAGAAATATTATTAAGAGCATGTCAGTACACTATGTATAGCAGAACCAATCTTATGTTTTTAGCTTTAATATAGAGTAAATTTACTTTTTATCATACTTGATAAAAAAAACATTATCTGTACTAATTTTTTCATTACCTTTTTATGATATTTTATTTTTTTCTGTGATATGAGTATTTTTAAACTAATATTTTACATATTCATAATTTGCATAACAATTCTAGTACTGTAAAAAAAGACAAAATACAAACAGAAAAAAGGTTTTTAATTTAAAGTTTGATCAATTCAATTTGATATTAAAGCCAATAATAATAGATTGGTTTTGCTGAACAAATATTTCTCATGTTGCGTATTAGTCAGAGTCCAGAAATAACAAATAGGTAGTGCATTGACATCCTATTAAGAAAATGACACACATACATTTGTTGTCTCTATCTTATAAACAAATAGCTTAGGATATTTTATATTCATAATAATTTATTTTATAATGTTTTTATAAAAATTATATTGATATGACCTATTATAAAATTTAAAGATATGATTACTATTTATGGCATATTTGATGCTTTTATTAATGTTTTAATTTTGGAGCATGTTATGATCATTGTAAAATTTTCAAAAAATGCTCTTAACTTGCTTTATCATTAAAATATCAACAAATGTTTCTCAGATTCCCTAAATAATTATTTTACATTTAAGTTTGATAATATATCAATACAACTTAATTTTAAAAATAACAAAGTAAAGTAGATTATTGTGAACATGTGCTATGTTGTTTATAAGACGGAGACAGCACATATGGACGTGGTTTTCTTAAGACTAAAATATTGGTAAAATATAAATTATGTAGAGAATAATTATTTTTCATGATAATTTAAAAATTGTTTTTGATAAAAGTTAATATGTATGTTAACCAAGATACCCAAATATTAATTCTGGCAGACATAGTTTAGTAAACATTTATTGTAACAAACACATACATTTGGTTAAAGTAACCAAAGCGTTATTTTTCTCATAGAATTGAGTCTTCCAGTACTTGACTGATATTGTCATCTTAGAATTAATCGGTTAACATACATAAACAGACGATTGTTTTAGTTGATTGCAATATAATATGATTTCTATAAGAGCTTAGTAGTAATACAGTTAATCTGATTCATTTGGTTATAATTAATGATTAACAGTCAGAAAGTCTAGGATATAAATGTATGATTTTGATGCATTAATAATAATAAAACAAATCACTCGGACAGTGATATTTTTTGTGCTCAAAATATTTCACTTAATCTAAAAATCTTAGAATAGACTACGGTCTTGAATGACTAGGATAAAAATGTTTAACAATAGCTATACCATGCTTTTTACTTAAATAATAAAGTATATAATTATTGCACAGACTTAAGATTATATTTCCGTAATTTTAAACATTAATATTACTAATTATAAGAAGAATGATTGAATGTTTGATCACAATTAGGTTGCAACAATGGTGAATGAAGTAGGATTTGTCTAGGGCGTGATCGGCAAATGTGCAGCAATAAATGTTGGTTCATCATATGAAATCTGAAATAAATCAAAAGTCGCAAATGTCATTATAGTAATCTTTAGTGAAGGTATTTGTGTAGAAATATATCAATTATAAAAATATTTTTTTTATCATTATGTAATTAATATTTTAAATAAAAAGAATTAGTATACCAATAAGTCCATTGATTAGATACTTTTCAGTACATCCAATATAGTAGGTATATTAATTATTTTGGTGTTATAAATAAATGGTATATATAAGTGAAATTAAAATATTATAAATTAGTTAGGTATATTTGTAAATTTTTTGATATATCAGATTAATTTTTGAATCATCTACAAACTACAGCGGTGTAATTTCAGAACTTACTACTTAGTGTGGAATGTAAAATAAGTTCTTTCACATTAGAAAAGTAATATTAAATATCAGGATATTGTAATTGTTGATCATTTTATTTCAATAAAAAATTATTATACAAAAAGAAATGGATTATTTATGACAGTTAATATTAAAGTATCTACCTATCTACTTAAAATATTCAAATAATTCAATATGCACTATATCTAAGAACAATTAAAATTTGAAAAATAACTAAAAATATTAAGTATCTTTATTTGTGTTGGAAAAGCGTTTACCATTTTCATTAATTAATTTGTAAAATTAAAGAGTTATTTATGGGAATTGAAGCAATTGCTGACTCTTGTACCTATGCTAAAAATAATGCCTCCAAATAGCTACAAATATGTTTTATTTAATCAGTAGGTGACTAAAATAAAATAGTTAATTGATGGTAATTTAAGACATATTTCATAGAAAAACGTGATAAGTATAATGTTTTTCTTCAGGATAAGTGAAAATAATTATTTATATAATATTTTTTTTATAGCAAGTATGATGTCAGCGTAAGTGATGAGTGATGACTGTTGTGTGTCGATTGATGTACCGATAAAAGGGTTAATAATATTTTTATTTTTTCGGTGCAATGTTTTTGTGCTGATATAATAGGTAACCTGACTTATTGATTAAAGTATTTTTGTTCGTTTTTATATCGTAAAATATATTTTCTTGTAGATAAATCATTCATATTATAATTTAAACCTTAATTTATGAGTATTATTTAATCCACTATAATATTTTTATGATATTGAGGTATTTTGATACTTTAAGACTTAAAGTACCAAACTACTTAGTTTGCGATTGTGTTACCTGTAACATATTACCTATATATAAATAGATATATTGATGATAAATTGATAAGTAGATATCCAATTTCTAATTTTTACAATCGGTATTATGTACGTAATTACTAAGTATTGGTGTAACTGTATAAAATATAAGTCATAAGTATATGTAATATATTATATAGGTGGTATTAGCTAGGTTCGTGACCGAATAGTAAAAAAACACTTCACTTCGTATATAGAGAACAAAAGAAAAACGTCCAACAAGGATTACGTATTTACGCGTATTATATACGGTGAACTCGGTATAATAATGTATTTTAAACGGATATTCGTTCGAATATTACACGTACGAGATGTGTCTTGACTGTCTTGAAATCTTCAAGACCAATGTATGCACTTTGGTTTTATTACATTTTATTGTATTTTAAAACGGTTTTATACGTGCGGGTATTGAGAAAAACAAAACAAAACAAAAAAAAAAGACCAAAAAGATTAACAAAATAAAAAAAAATCAAGTTTCGGTTTATTCGGTGACGCGTATTTTTATCGGCGGTGGTGGGAAGGGACACATGAACCGCACCGGACAACGGACACAAATAGGGATTGGATATTATTAAAAAACTGCATTACGTGCTACGAGTTGATGCTGATTATTATAAATATCATGATATTGAGTACCTATTTACCTATCCAGTATAGGGTCTATAGGCTATTTATTCTATCTAACTAAAAACTACGTATGGTTTGGCAAGAAGCTTCATGAAAAAGTTATGCCCATATATTGTAAATTTTTACCTAAACGGCTACACGATGATAAAATAATACGGATACGTATATTTTTATACTTATTTTATATCTTAATGTAGTCAAACGATTTATATTTATTTATTTTATGTCTTAATCATCCGGTAATTATATCATGCGTGGTAATATTTATTAAATTATAAGTTATTATTATTTTTCCGGGGGGGGGGGGGGGGGGGGGCAAGTGCCCCATCATGCTTCCTCACTAATGAGCGCCTATGATCAATTATAAATTCAGACATAAGATCCATAAAATTAAATACATTAGGAATTTAAGTCAAGATTTTTTAAGACAAAGTATCTAAATTTAAAAATTAAGAGAAACGTTTTTATAAATAAACACAAACACGCTTAAAAACATCGATAAACCCAATTAAAATAAAATTTAAGTTAAAATGTTCAATAACTCAATTACATAGATTATTAGATAATACTATAATTTCTTATAAAAATAAATTCAATTATTTTGTTATTATAGTATTTCAAATACTAAATTATTAAATTGCAAGCACAGAAAAAAAATGTAAATATGTAAACAGATTTTGTAAGTTTATTTTTCTTATGTATTTGGGTGTTCAGTATTTTTGTATTTTCTCGGACCGAATAATTTCTCCTCAATTTGTTGAGTAGAGGCTTGTTGAAGGCTAGTTGTAATAATAATAAAAAAAAAAAAATATAAGAATATGTAAAATATTATTCAAAGCTCAGTTTATGGATCGACACACTCTATATCTACACACACGCAGTAGTGTACTTAGATTTGAATTTTTTCTTTTTTTTTTGAGTGGGGGAGATTTCAATTTTTAAATAAACGTTGGATGACCTAAACCAAATAAGACATATCGTAAACTTTAAAAGATTGTTCATTTTTATTCGTTATTATTTTTAGTTAACATGTCATAATATAATATGTATTGAAGTCTAAAATTAAGCAAACTTGGCCATATGTTAAAAAAAAAATAAAAAATAAATATTATGATATAATTTGGATAATTTTTTAAAACATGAACTTTATATTATTTTCAGAAAAAAATAATAATCATCTCATTACTTTGTATTGGTATTTCTATATAAATACTAAGATGAGCTAATCAATTTAGTCGATTTTCCTCCGTAGAACTTCTCAAGTACGACTTCAAACGTTTTAGTGTCGAGAAGCTCTGTTCAACACTGGCAGTTATAACTGGCAATGTAGCAATTATTGGTATATTTTAGGAAACAGTAACTCATTACAACAATTTATTGCATCAATAAATGTGCAAGGAGGTTTATCTACAGCTATCCATCTCATTGTTTCCATAATAGAAATTCTTTATTTAAAATATTGTTACACGAGTTGATATAAATTGGCCACTGTTTTGATATTCCTTCCGTACTTGTCACGATTTCATTTTCGGATAATTTTGTTAGTTTCCTTGGTGTACAATCTGTACAATCTGTTTAATCAAGAGTGTATTTTTGTGTTTAGCGAGATGAAGTTGTCAATAAACGGAACAAATACAGATATCCAATAATAATTTTTGGCTGAAGTTAACTCATAGTTTTCTCTTATTGTTGAAATTGTGTCATCCTTGGAATTTTGATTTCCTTTCCAATGTTTTTAGCAAGTTTTTCTCTTATACTCGTAGTTCGGTTTGTCTTTGTTATTACTAAGCACAACGCCATTGTTATAAATTGTATTGCTTGTAGGTACTTGGTAAATTTTAGTCTGTATCAAGTTATGGTATTTTATTACCCACTTATTTATAGTTAATATACTTAAAAGTTAAAAAACTACAATCAAAATTAAAATTTAATTTTAAAACTATTGTAATGATATACTAACAAATAAAGTTTAAAATAATAAAATAATGTACATTTATGATAAAAAAAAAAAAAAAAAATGAAATAACTCGTACTTGTAGTTTTATTCTTCACCAAGTCGATGGGTCATAAAATAAAAATACCTACTAGCACCACACGCAGTGCCATGGTAATACGTTAATGATTACAAATTAAAATAGGTAGTAGTGGATAGTCATAATTCATAATAATTATACCGTTTGTCATTCATGTTTACAATATTTTCTTGAAAATATTCAAATATCCATGGGTATCCATATAAGATAATTTTCAACTGTATTGATAAAAAATAAACATTTTAAAAGAAACTAATTTTTTGTAAAAATGTCGGTGGTGAGGGAGGGAGTTATCTTCTCCTGTTAGTATGCTATGGTATACATGCACTTATGACATAAGTAAGGTGTAATAATATATCATAACAATATTGTATTCCCATCTGGAAATTTCACGAGACGCTACGTCATAATATATTTATACGTTTACATTACCGACAAGTGTTATTGACTATAACGATTTTATCTGATTTTTATTTAAGAGATTTTGTTGTATTGTACCTACTACCTATACGTTGTGACATTTGGAAGTTTATCTTGTGATATTATTGTTATTAAAATTAAATTATTTTTTTTTTACTATTAGTAATTCAGCATATCTTGGTGAATATTTTTTTTATAGACAAAAATAATTTTACAAGATCATTTTATTAGAAGATAAAGCGTTTACAGACTTAGATATTTTGATCGATAACCACTTTTTGTACTATATAAAATATAATATTATACAGTAATAAAATTTATTATATTCTGATTTGGTAGGTAAGTAGGTATATGAAGTGTTAAAACTTTTGCATCATGAAGCAAGTTAAGTACATCAAATTTAATTTTTATATTATAATTGTATAGGCATAAATATAATTTGTAAATAGTTTTATATACCCTTAACAACTACTGGATTGGGCTTAATTGAATTCTGAATTGATAACATTTTTTACATAACACAAACCAAATAAATCTTAACTTTAACCACATAGAATATATATAGGTAAATTGGTTTGTTGATCAGTTTAGAATAGTAGCAGTTTTGTAATTTTGTTGAATAGGGGCATATTCTATTGTATCTATAATTATAGGGAATTACGTATTTTGAGTTTTATCATTTGTGTTGACTTTAGAAACTTTCTCATCATATGTTGGCTATTTTAAAATGCTTTTTGTGATTTTGTATGTGAATTTAAATTTTCCCAACTATCTTTGTGTATGGTATATAATATATAACATCGATAAGTGGCATCCCTAAGTCGTTATCTAAGGTAACTTGGTTTGTGTGTGTGTTTCAAATGATGGATGGAGAAACTTGACATTATACTTTTACACAATATAATAAATATACATAGGGCGTATCTTTTTTGTTTAACGATCTTATACTAAAATTGTATTTAAATATATATTTTCAAAATATACTCCGTATAATAACTTATTACTTTTTACACACAATTTACATTCTACATACTCGATTTATTATAGTTAACTTAATAATTATTTCACAGAGTGTAAAAAACTAAAGATTTCAAAATGTAGGTATGCTTTGCTAAGTGACTTTCAAACGGCACTCTGATTTAAATACCATAGTACCTATTTCGAAAATCAATAGGTATAATCTAAATTTAATTTTTACTTTCTTAGCGCGTGGACTCTGATAGTTGATCGTATACAGAATGATTCACCAAACATGCTCCTCTTTTAACCTTTAACGATGATAATTTTGTTCAAAATCTATAGATTTTTGGAATATTGATTTAGTAAAGTTGAAGTATTTAAAATATGATCTTTAATACTTTTTATACCATTTAAAAAGTATCTTGTGATGATGTAGATTTATTTTTTTTTAATGAGAAAAATTATTTTTTTCTGCTAATTATAAATTAAATGCTTTTTTCTTTAAATTTATTGTTGATGCTGATAAAATTATCCTGGGTCATTACTCATTACACTTACACTTAGTATTTGGTACACTTAATAAGTTTAATAACTTTGAAACTACTCGTTTGAATTTTAAAATTTTAATTTATGTACTTTGAAATTTTAAAACAATTTAAATAGTTATTTTCTTAGTAATTTACAATAAATTAAGGTGAATTTTATATGAAAAAAAGTTAATATTATCACGAGATAATTGCTTAAGTTCCATATAAAAACAAAGTTTTGAGAAATATAGACGTCAAGTAATTAGGTTCAAAACTTTTATTAATAAAAATTAAATAAATTAGATAACATGAGTTGAACCTTGAGCATAATATGTGATCATTTTATTTGGGGTTTTAAACATATATATAATTTTTGTTTATTATTTCATTAATACGCATGTTAATATTTATTTTGTAAATTATTCTAATGTACGAGTTAACTGTAGATACTGACCGTCGCTGCCGTGGCTCTCGTCGTCTGCCGAATGCTGTCTGCTCGATCTCGAGTTCTGTTTGGATAAAAACTGAAAAAAAAAATGTAGATAGCTAAGTTCGAAGAATGCTTTATGCGTATATTTTTGTATTATATAAATTTACACCTATAATTAAATTGAGTTCTTATAATAAGACGTTATATTTCCAAATTTTAAAGAATTTAAAAATTTTTAATTTCAACAAATACCTAATAAACAATGTGCATGATGTAATAAAGTTTCTTTACAAGTATAGTTACCGCTGTTAAAATTAAATATAATTATATTGATATATTTGTGTGATAATTAGACGAATTAGGGAGGTGTTGAAATTAAATGAAAATCTATAACTGTAAAATAATTTACGTAGAAAAGACATTGAAAATATTAATGAAAAAGATTTAATTTAATTGAATCGATACAATATTCAAACTTGATCATATTTAGTATTTTTGAATTCCAAATTGTAACTCAAACCTAGTTTTTGTTTAATTGGTGACAATTTTTTTGATTTAGGAATTCGTTACTGTTTTATATAGAATCTATACGTATTTATTGATATATTTCTATGTACATATAGTCATTTGGGTTAGGAAACTTAGTGTTATAAGTGAAAAAATGCAGCCAGTGCAGGTTCATCATTATGTTTCACAAAATATTGATACTTATACTATTTTAATCGTTTGATAATGATATTTTTAAGTCAAAAGATCGAATTTGATATGTTTGTTTAATATTTGTAGGTTTAAAAGAATTTTTTAAGATTTTAACTGCTTATAATTTTAAAATAAGTACTAAAACGTCTAAAACTATCAAAATATTGATATATATATATATATTATAATATTATGTTTTTAAATTATCAAATTCAGTGTAAAACAGCAATATCATTTGAAAGTATTGAATTAAAATTGTTTTGTACGTCGTGAAAAAGTATCGCAACTTTTATGGTTACCATAAAAAACACTGGTGTAAAATAGAAAAGAAATAATATTATTTCTATCTTACTAATATAAAATGTGTATGATCAATGGGAAAACAAGCGTATAAGTGTATAACCCTGTATTTTTGTACGGAATGAAAAGGTCAAAAGGTTTTGTACGTGTTTACCCTAATAATTTACTCTTGTGGGTTGATGGGAGGGGGTTGTGTACGTAAACTTGAAACTTATGCTGCAAATATACAGCTGCAATAGGTAGTCGGTAACCTCAGTGTATTATTCTGTGGTGCTAGTAATTTTCTATTATGTACAATTGATAATAAACAATAACAATTACTATGGTTGACCTGCCATTTATTATGTTACAGACTTTATCGGCGACCTAGGAAGAAAATGATAATATATGTTTACATTATAGACTGCAGGCTGCGTTTTATAGCTTGTTCACCAGAGAGTTACTATCTATATAGTATATAATATATTAGGTATATAATATTATGATAGTTTGATGTATATTATATAGCGTATATAAAATATAGGACCTGAACATATAACCACACCATTGCATGTAAAACATAAGACGCGACTAAAATTATTAACTATATATTTGTAGTATTTCTAGATAATATTTAAAATTTCGTCAATTTGCAGACAGCGTTGGCTAAAATATATAATTTTTTTCCATAATCAAGTATGATTTAACTTAAGTTATTCAAATATTTAAAGTTATTTGCTAATAATTACACCAACTATTTTTTAAGATGTAAGATATATTCAGAACGCATTAAAAATTTTAAATATTTATTTTTTTTATAATTTGTTTTTGATAATAACATATTTTCCTTAAATTATATTTCAAAACAAATCTTAGCAGTGCTTCCAGTCTTTTCAATGTAATACTTATTATATCATACTTCATAATACACCTAGGTTTATAACATGAATTATACTATATAATAATATTATATTAATTATTATTAGAGACAGGAATTTCATACCCAGTAATAAGCGCTGAAATATTAATTACGCATTTTAAGTAAAATTAAATTTTATATTTTTGTTTTTTGGACAATGATTTAAATATATAACATTTATAAAACACTAGCTGTGTAATTAAACTTGATTTGGATATAAATGAACAAACATACTGATTGCAAGTGCGGTGCTAGCGCTATATCGGTTTTATTGCACCTCAGTAGTCAGTTCACAGCCAAATCGGCATCGATGTACATTGTAAATTGCTTTGAGAACTAATTTGACTGAATGGGTAATCCGTTGAATACCAATGATGGATTAGATATACCTCTTGGTATATTTTTAAACTAAGTCCATAAGCTACGAATACCCGGGCATTTCTTTTTGTTTTATATTTGAATAAAAAACAATAAATTAAAAAAAAAACCTATAGCAACGCACAGCTTGGCTAATCTATCTATTAATAATTATTACATAATACACATTATTTCGTAGAATTCAATGTTCTGTGACCTAGTTTTAATTTGTATTACTAAAATAGTACTTACTTATTACTTATTTATTATTTTATATAATTATATATCAATATCTAGGTAATGAAAAAGTCATTATAGAGTTAATTCAGAAATGAAAGATTGTTGTCTGAAAAGTAGTGATTTTTCGATAATTATCTTTTATCCGGGTACCGTTCAGTAATGACCCTATACAATTGATAATAGTAATAATCGGCAATCACATTATAAAGTTATGATTGCACGACGTCTCGAGTAAATAAATTAACTAGGGTAGGTATTTTAGGATCTGTAGAGGCTATGGACTTATAAAATTGTAATATATTTTAGCAGTTTAGGTGTTAGCGGGCACTTACCACGTTCGGTCGACTAGTTGATTTTGAAGGCGACCGCTTGTTATTCCATTCGGCGATCAATTGGTCAAAGTGTTGCGATTGTGCTAAAGCAGCCTGCTCAGGACCCAGATTCTATAAATACACGTGATTTGGTCAGTAAATTTTCCGTTCAAAATATTGTAGAGTGTAGGTATTAAAGTCGCGTAAGTTATTATGTTTGAGTGTGTAAGTACCTGTGATCCCATGTTCTCATTATTGTTAGCCTGTTTTGATATTTCTTCCATGCTGGCCGAAACGGAAAATCGGCGAAGTTTTTCGTCGACGGCCGCCCGCGTTATCGACGAGGTTAAGTGTGCGTACTTTCGTTGCCACGTGTATGAATCCAACGAGTATTCTTTGATCAACATCCTCCTCATGGGTTTTTTGGCGGCTAACGATCTATGTTCTAAGACATTGGCATGACAGATATATTAAAAAAATATTATAATAATTATTATTAGGAGTGATTAAATGAATATAAGTAGATACTATATTGTCATAATATAGAACCTGGAACTAGAACAATGATGATTTTTATAGGTTTCCATACGTTGAAATACAAATTTAAAGCATTTAAACTATAATTTATTTAATATTTATTTGAAGTAGATGAGTACATTTAATTTATATAATTTTATAATAAACATATTGTAAGTATGTATGCTCAAAATTGATTCATCGTTTATAATATACCTACGCGTTTCATGTGCATTTATTTTTATCGTAAAATACATTTATATATTTATTATTATATTATTGATATTATTTTAATCAAAATTTCATGACGACGAGTAATATACAACTATATTTATACATATATTATATCAGTGGCATATTTATGGGGTGAGATTTAGGAGATTATCTCTTCGCCTGACATACCATTTTTAAGCTTATATTTATATGCTTATAGTTTATAGTTATGTTTTTTCATTTATCACTTTATCAGTAGGTAATACAATTTTGAAACGTTTGGCATCAACATTTTTAGTCAAATATCCGCTTTTAAAGATATTTTAAGTACGTCACTGTATTAGATTTTAAGTGGTGTAGTAAACCCAAATCCCATGTAATTATTCTAGTTATTATAATGTAATATAATAAATTATATATGAAGTATAATTTATGCTGAAAATTAATGTAGGTATTTACCGTCATTAATGGTGAATATAGGCAAAGCCTAAATCAAAGATGAAAACAATAAGTTGTTTTCACTATATATGCACAAAAATGCATACCTAGTAGACATGAACAGGATGTAAAATTAGAATATAGAATAATCACACCTCCATACGTCATTGATAGGACCCATGAATACAGGTAGAGCACCTAGCATTAATAGAGAAGGTAGTTTACTGTAGACTTACGCATAATAAGCTTACGAATTTACGATAGTGAGTTTTATATATCTTTTTAATTTTTTTTTAAATTTGTACAAATAAAACATACATTTTTATTTGTAAATTATAAAGTGAAGCGTTCATTTATTTCAATATACCTATAGTATCTATCTTCCTCAATACGTTTCAAGATTACGTCGAACGAGCTACATCGTTTAAATAATGATCATGGTACCTATCGCAGTGTCCTGCACAGTGATCACTACAGTGAAGTGAGTAATGCAATTGTTTTATAATGAACAGTAGTTTTTAGTATGTCCTAACGTTTCGAGTAGAAAATAAATATGCAAAATATTCTTCTCGAACCGATTTTGTTTTTTGCAAAAACTAATTCTATTTAATATTATTTAGAATTTGTGAATAATAATTTAAATTTAATATAATGCTAAGTATTCTTAGAAATAGAATCTGATTCATTTGAATTAAAACTTCGATTTCAATGATTTAAAAAAAATTACATTTTAGGTTCTGATTTTGATTCAGTTCTAGTCTTTGCGAAGTATTATTTGTATTGTATTATAATATCGATGGATTTTTTGTAGAACATTTTCGGATCAACTATTGTGTAGTGAATGAGAAAAATAATATTTCGAAATAAATACTACAAGCATAGAGTACAGAACCATTTAAAATGGTATTACAAAGTTCAAAAGACAGAATTGGTGATCGCGAGAGAAAGTAAAAATAAAACATAGTACTATAATTGGACGATTTTGTGCTATGTGTACTTAAATGTGATAGTGTATACACAAATTGCATTGTATATTCGAACATGATGTAATTTTACTGCTTAAAAGAAACATTCTGTTATTAAACACCGGAAAGCCATTAAAATGATCCGAGAAAACAATTTTATTATAATAAAATAAAATATTATATCAAATTTAATTTTAATGCAGTATTATAATTTATTTATTTTAGGTTTTTATAATAGTAGTACATCGTTGCCTTTTTGTATAAATCTTGGTAAACAAAGAGTGACTTTCTTATCGTTTTAAAATGTAATAAAACGACAATCGTATATGGACTACGGCTCATACAACGTGAATACCGAGTTTATTATGTTATTTATTGAGAGTTTTCAGTTTTATTTAATAAAATAATTACAATGTTTAATATGTTTATATTGTTCGAACTGTTACGCATTAAATATAAGTTATTATACTCATTAATTGACGTGTCTAAAACGACGACGATGACCTTATTACTTTTTTTTTTACCTATCTAATATTTTATTGACGTTTGGTTTTTGTGGCAAATGAAACATTGGTTATATATTATGTACCTAAGTACTACGTCATTCAAAATAGTTTGGTACTATATGTGTGTGACTATAGTGCGATCGAATTTTGTGAATAATGGGCTTAGTAAGGACCATAAAACGTATGTTTGAGAATATTTGTTGAAAAATAGCCCACCTTTTATTTTTCATGTAAAGCATATTAACTTTAATGTTTGATGGTAAAAACTAATATTTTATTTTTCAAAAAAATACTAACTAAAGAAATCAACGCGTAAACATGCTTTTAGTGTTCGTTTTCAATCTTTAAAATATTTAAGCAATTATTCTTGTTTTAATATTTTTAAAGCGTTTAGTTTATTTTTGGTATGGTCTAGTCACTAAATGTTAGTGCAATTCTCCTTATAAAAACTTTTATTTTTCCCAAAATCACAAAAAATTATAAAATATAATACTAATATGTCCAATTAAAATGGATATCATCTCATTTATTACAAATTATAAATATAATGCAAATACCTCGGTTGATGAAAACCGGAACCTTGACGTACTGCGCGGGCGTGTTCATTAGCTGCGTGATCGGCAAGTACTGGCTCTCGTATAGATGTACCGCGACTCGGGTAACATCTGTGGACATTGACAGGCCCAAAATGGGAAGGTGTAGTTGTAGAGACGTGAGCGGCAAGCCACGTTTAGTGTCCCACACGATTATCCGTTTGTCGTCGGAGCCGGAAAGAGCTACTGAACCATCACCGCTCAGTTTGACACACGTTACGTGGCCAAGATGACCGGTTAGAAGGTGTCTGTCATCGCCTGTGTGTATGTCCCATATGATGAGATTGGCATCCCATGAACCGGATACAACGATTGATTTGTCGCTGATAGCCACAGCCACGCACGTTACCTGGTCTTCGTGTCCGACCAATACCTGTAGCACGCGGACGTGATTATAAATATGTGTCTACTGTTGATGGCGGCATAGGAGTGGATAGACATGTGGGATATGGGTGGTTTTGATGAAATATAATGAAAGTTTTGATAATTTTTTGGATAATTTTAATAATTTCTATTATTTTATGCTGTTCTCGTAAATTATTATTCGCGTTTGTTGGTAAACCTTTATAAACTATTGATTTTTATGCAGCTGCCAAATCTACTATGATAATAGATCTAAGACTGGTCGATGATCAGTTAATCAATTTCAAGTACCAATAAAATTTCCCATATTTGACCGAAAAAAAACTCTTCCTATACCCACAGCAGCTGAGAACGACATCCATTGAGAGGCTGGTTGATAAACGCTAATTCGCTTCTGTAATACACATACCTGCGATAGTTTGCCACCATTAATTTGCCAAACTTTCAATGACATGTCTTTAGACCCAGTGATTATTTGCAATGAGTCGTACGTTATCACGAAACACGTTATCTCTTCCGTGTGACTGACCGTCCATTTTTCTGTCCAAGGTCCTCCCTCGTTTTTGATTGACAACGGCCAGATATGCAGCCTGTGTAAAACTTTCATGTAATATATACTGTAGTAACGTGACTTGAACTTTAATGACTTGTTACGTTTTGATTAGTAAAAGTGAAAAAAAAATAAGTTTTTCTTTTCTAAATTGACTTTATTAAAAATATGAACTGACCTTATTGTCTATTTTTTAATATAAAAAATTGATTTATTTTTATTTTTTAATAATTAATCAATAAATATATAATATTATATACAGTTAATTTGAATGGTACAACAGTAAAAAAAAATAAATGCTTGAACTTTATTGTCATTGATTTTGATTGAAATCGTATAAGTTATTATCAAACAATATAAAAAATAGTTGGGAACCGATTGCAATAATATAATTTTTTTTTTAATCATATGGTTTATTAATATCAAAAAAATCTATTAAAAACTCATTGATCTCAAAATGTCACGGTTCATACCAATTTTGATATCAGTGTTAAATAGTAAACAATTATGATTCTTATGGTTTGCGGTTCAGTTCAATTTTCGTAATTCATGCGAAAAAATGTCTATCGAGTTATGACTTACGAAAAGTGGCCGTCACCGCTGACTAGGTATTTCATGTTGTTGGTCACTGACAGATTAGTCGCTGGGCATATCACCGAGTTGAGTAGTGTTCCATTGTCCGACAGCCAGACCGCTATGACGCCCGCCTTGTCGCTGGACACGACCTTCTCGCTGTCTGAGGTCACCTCTACGGCGGTGATGGCTGATTGGTGGCCCTGTCGGTCAATCAAACAACAGTCATTTGTGTGAGAAACGAAAATTCAAAGACGTGGAAATTAAATAACTCATTGATACAGATAACGTCGATTATATTTAGTATATGATATAAAGTGTACTTACGCTGAACGTGAAAACGGCATTACCCACGGTCAGGCCCCAGACCAATACAAGTTTGTCTTCCGAACCAGAAACGGCGAAAAGACCATTGGAAGCGATGGCCAGACACGTTATGGCGGCTGTGTGACCGTGCATGGTGGAGTGCAACTCATTGTTGTTCAGTTGATAGACATTTTCTAAGCTCTCCACGTTCAGATGCCAGACGTTAACCAGACTGTCTAGGCCACCTGTTTGGATGGAACATGATCGTAAGTAATTCGAATTTTAAATTTCATGAAAACGAATTTCTTTTATAGTTATTAACTGGGTTTGATTTATATTGTGCTAAAAGCTCACTACAATTGGATTTAATGTAATTTATTTATATGTTTGTTTACGCTTTAAGAAAATTATAGTGTACAAAGTGTCAATCTTAATTTATAATTTTAATTTAATTTAAGAATAAATAATACAACAATTATTACTGTAAATAATGAAATTAACAATATTTTTAAATATGGAGACAATATTTTAAAGACTATTACAACCTTTCGGGTTTATTAAGACTATATAATTTTGAATGGGGTGACTGATAAAAGGTAATCTCCGTTCTTATGTAAATAGTTTAAATAACTCAATCTATTTTTTCTAGGATTTTAAGATAAATAATATTACTATTTAAAATATTTAAAAATAAACGATGCATCATTAACCTTACGCCTGGAGAAAAGTTAATGCACACCTAACATCAAATCAATAATGAGTGTTTTATCGATTGATACAAAACATTTTTTTTTTTTTTAAATACCTAATTATGTTTTAATGGAAGAATGAAACTTTTTATCGTCTCACATACAGTTATATTGTATCTATGAATATGTTATGCATTAAGTTTCAATACTTTTATTTCTATGACAAAAATAAAGTACCAACTTAATTTGAATTTTTCCTGAACATTTTACCAAAACTTTTAAATTTAAACTGTTATTTTATTGAAACACGCATTTATAATTATTAGACAGAAGCTGAGCTAAAAATGTCTCATAATGTCCGAGTTCGAGTCCTTAACTTATTACATGTCATACCTGTAACAGCCATTGTGCCATCTCTCGATATGTCCAAACAGGTGATGGCGCTGGTATGCGGCTTTCGAGACAACGGCGATGATTGTTTGCTGATAGTGTGCGCACTTCCCATTTTCCGGAAATTCCAGTAAGCGATCTTGCCGTTGCCTGTTCAGTAACAAAAATAACACGATATTGTGAGTGGCGAAAAACCAAAACAATCCACAAACACACACACACATACACAAAATATCCTTAATATTATTATTGCTTACCCGCAGTGACGAGAAAGTCATCGTTGTTGGTGATTTTTACGGCGATTACTTCTTTGTGGTGCGGTGCTGTAGATATTGGCACGAGGTCTAAATCTCCTGAATGTATGTCGTATATATATACCCTGGAATCAACACCGGCCACAACTGCCCGCTGACAATCCTCCGCCAATGCGATCGACATGACCTTAGAGCAGTATCCTTTCAGGTTGTGTATGAGCGTGCCCGTAGCTAGCGCGTGCAGCCACAACTGATTTCCTTCGCATAGCACCAACAGGAACATGGAGTCGACAGATATGTCCAACATTTCAACGGGCCCGGGCAGAGAGATGGTGTTGAGTAGGTCAAGAGTGTCCATTTCCCAGAGGCACACTGTGCAATCTGACGAACCTGTACACGCGTCGTAATGTTTAGACGTGTCACCGAAATTATAGTTTACGAGCTATGTAAATTTTGTTTTTGTTTCTCGTATATTTTTAACATTAAAATTATTTTACGTAAATACATTATACACGGAGGCGGGTTTAAGGTATAATCTCATATTTTAGACTCATAAACTATTTTTTTTTAGTTGTTACGTTATGTTTAAAGACCTTTAAAAGTAGTTTATTTTATTTTTAAATATATATTTTAGTTAAAATAAAACAAAAAATTTTTTTTTATTTTTAGAAAAATGTACATAAATTTAATGTTGTATATCATTTTGAGGCGAAATAAATTTAGATAAAACAAATAAAAAGAAATGCTAAATATTTCCGGAAACAGAAAACTTATTGTCGTAAATTTTAATTAAACTTATACACCATGTCATTTGTATACTAACCCGTAACCAGAACGTCTTGCGATGTCAGTTGAACGGCCGTTACGGGTCCTTTGTGGTAGTCAATTTTTCTTACCATTTTACCTTTTAACGTGAATAGAAGTATTTTACTATTTTCACAACCCAAGACAACACCAAGTTCCTTATTGCCACCATCATTTATTGTCGCTACGCAAAGGCTTAACACCAGAGATTCTAGTTCGCTGTAAAAAAAAAAAAAAATATGCAGAGAAAAATTAACAGTTATACAATTTTGCTATTCACTTGCTAAAACTTTGTTAGTTGTATAATTATATAATTTCAATTTAAGACTGCCAAATGTATACTGATAGATAAACCTTTGAAATAATAAATATAATTTTCAACATAGATTTGGATTTGTTTTGGTGACAGTGGGTCTACTTGCGTAAAATTGATAAAAAAAAAATGTTTTAAAAATAAACATAGTTCCAAAAATGGTGGTCGATTTTCAAGATAAACCGTTGACTTTTGACTTAAGTAAGTTTATGGAAACGAATATCTTACGTGTATTTCGCTAATAAAGCGTATGTGTTTAGATCCCAAACCAGAACGCTATGGTCTTCAGAACCGGTGACTAATAACTGAGGGTTTTTATTCACGTTTAAACACTTTATCGGTTTCTGGTGTCCTTGGAATGTTTGTACTCTCGTGTTTCCCATTGTATGCCAAAGTTGAGCGTCTCCTTCTTTCGGTATGACAACTACGTGCTGCGCCGAAGGTGTAGGAGCTATGCGATGGATCGGTATACTGCAGTTAACGCCTGAATAATAAACCATACCGATATTAATATCGAGTCGAGTGAACAATTTATTTTTTATTTTCGTAATAATGTATTACATTTGATGTGAAGAGGTAAAGGCGGCTGTAGCCAACTTGTATGCGGCACTAATAACGGATCTGTGAAACCGTCACACCATGATACCGAACATCTTATGATTCTGTGCATTAGTTTACTACTATCTGTAATATCAGAATGGATTGTGGTTAATATCTATAATGCATTATAGTTTGATGCGCAATGTACGTGTTTGCTTACCTGCTACGGGTCGTAGCCAACTGATGATTTGTGCCCCGAGCTGCAAAGTGTCCCTCGTTAGTACATCACTCGATTTCCTCACTGTATAGTAAACTAATTCGACATCTCTATCCAATACATAACATCGCGCGTGTTCTAGGATAGATCGTAGATAACTGACGGATATAGTTCGTACCGCCGCCAATAAGAAGTCAAAATTGCACAACGTCAACTCTTTTAGTCTGATGTGGTCACCTGTGAATTTGTATGTGAATTATTTTTTATTTCAATAAATATGGTACGAAATTAGTGTATTGTTGTAAGCGTACCTGCTTTCAACAGATGAATCCATGATTCCTCGACGTGTCTTAAACTGTACGTCATGTCATTTTGTATAACGGTTTCTCCATCTTTACTCACTGCTGTAATAATACATTTATTTGTTTTAATGCTTGGTCGAATGGTTATAAAATGGTTGTTAAATAATTAATTTATACTATAATTTAATCATTCGTAAAAAGTTAAAGAATTATAACTAGTATATACTTACAACCATCAGTTTTAGATTCCGATTCGTCTTTAGAAAATTCACTGAAGAACAAGTTTCCTATTTCCATATGTAACGTTCTTTTTTGTATCTTTGATGTAAGATACCTTTGCATAACTACATCATATGTTATTTTATGCCTCCAACATAATAATATGCGGCCACTCATAAATTTTTCGTATAAGAGAGGCACTATAAATATATTTATATAAATCCCATTAATAATATTTTATTTTATTTATTTTATATTTTCAACATTTTGGTTCTTACTTATGGTTTTTTTAGCTGTACAAAATGTGGAAAAATTGAAATTTCCGTCTTCTAACTTTAAAGGAGTTCCAAAATCACCTGTAGTTGGCATAAGCAGTTCAAGAAGTTCAGTTTCTGTCAAACCAAATTCGGATACTGATATGTATGAAGCCAATTTAGAAACAGCTTTCAAACCAAACACTTGTTCGTAGTTGTCTAACATATTGTTAATATTTGACTTGATTGTCTCTAAAAAAAAAAGTTAACTTTAATTTAAGTTTATTAGCTGAGAAAAAAATTAATATCGGTTTTCTATTAGTGTTTTAAAAAAATTATTTTGAGTGGAAAGTCATAAACTTATAGCTACTTTAGTTTATGAATGTATTTTAACTAAAAAAAATGTTTATTAATTATTTTCCTAATATTACGGAAAATCTTCAAAAAATATTTTATAATGAAATAAGGGTTCAAATGAATTTCATTTTTGATGTAGTAACAGTATGTTTAATGAAAACTTCAAAATTATTGTGTGTTGATGTAATCGAAATTAGATGAATTCCTAAAATGTTTAGTTGATAAAATTCAGAGTATTTTATTGTTTGACTATTATTTTTTTAATTCCTCTCTATCTTGAGTATTAGTTAAACATTTGAGTAGTTGAAATTTTTATGATAATATTATAGTTAAATTTTGTTTATTTGTATTTATATTTGATGTTAAAGACTGTAAAATCAAATATCTAAAAAGTCGATTTACAATAAAATAAGATACCTACTGTTAATTAATCTAACAAGACAATAGTTAATTTATTCATAGATAAAATAATTTTTTTAATAAGAATTGCAGTTTATCATTTATTTTTAATTTTAAACTATCTTACCTATGTTAGCGTCTGGTTGTTTCACATAAAATTCAGAATTTCTAAAACGATCTTTTTGCAGGGGAGTCATTTTCAATTCATCAGGAATATACAAGGTTGTGCATACGATATGTACGTTAAATGGCAGTACTGTCGGTAACCAGGATAGACCCGCAACGACATCTGAGTCTAAAGGGTTTAACCTATGTAAGTCATCAATGAACAAAATCAAAGTTGACGATCTGCATTCGTCTTCGAATCGCTTTAACAGCGTCTGAAACCAATCACTGATGTACAGCGGGTCAAAAGAGGCATCTAAAGGTACACAAAGTCCGGTGGGCTGGAGTACACAAGTTAGCTGTTCGCAAATAATTCTCAACAGTTCCAAGTTGTATGAGGCTCTTGGCGTGACACCCGAAAACCTCACTATTCTTACTGGTTTTTTGTCGAACCATTTTTCACATTCTCGATAGATGGTGTTGATTATCGATGTTTTTCCGGAACCAAGACCTCCATGTATAATGATCGGGCCGTGTTTAGTGGTCGTAGACATCATTTTTCGTATTTTAGTGACTGCATCCATTTGAGGATTTGGAGGGTTAAGTTTAATTAGATCTTTGCAGTGTGCTATGTGCACTATTGCTTCCTTTAACACTTCTTGTATAGTTTTGTTTCTGGCATTTAACTCGGGTCTCTGTTCAATGCTTGTATTTATCATACTTTGCATTTTTGACATGACTGCTTCTTGGAATATGGTCAGATACATATCATGCTCGGGATGTTCACCGTCGATACCTCCAGGTTTCCATTCTACACTGTAATCGTAGTTTGTTTTTGTTTAATTAAATGTACACAGGAAAATTATATGTACTTACCTTAATTCAATTAGATTATCTGGCGACACAGTGTCCTTTAAGAAATGTTTAAATGATGAAACTGTCTCATCGATACCACTTTCATAATTGTGTCGTCCAGTGAATTCTCTATTGAATACGACCATGTGATCTTTATCTAAGTCTAAAGAAACATATATATATATTATTTTCATAAACATGATGTATTAATTTAACTAACCTAGAGCGTGTAAAGTTTGATGCTGAACTGCCGAATGGAATATTTGAGGATCAACAATCAAACCTCTACTTAATAATTCCTGTGATGCTTCTTGCATTACTACTAAAGCTTTTTCATTCTTTTCAAACCAAAGACGCAATTGTTCTTGATCTTTATCATTACTGAAAAATATTCAAATAAGTATTACAAAAATTTGTAATACCGCAAGTAGCAAGTAAAGATCAAAAGTTATTTTTAAATTCAAATTATTTTAATTTAATTTCCAATTAATTAAATATTATTTTATATTTTGTTAATTTTTTAGCTATCAAAAATATAGTAAATTAAAAATTATACATGAATTTAGTACTGATAGTAGCTTATAATTTATTAAATAAAGTAAAAATAAAATTTACATTTTTATTTTGCTAAGATAATAATTTACAGTACGCCTGTTGAATATTATCAACTATATACGTAATTATTTTGCTTAAACATTCTTTTTTAAAGTTAATGCCATTAGAATTTTTCTTTGGATAATTTTTGAAAAAACAAATTTAAATATATCGATTTCAACGGAAATACTTTTAGAGTGATACAAGATCTTTGGAACATTCTGTATTAATATATCATTTTAAATAATATTGCTATTTATTTATATTATTACCTGTATATAATATGTAAAAATCTAATTAAATTTCAAATATTTTTCGTCTTTTCATAAAATCGAATTATCTTGTGTACTTATAACCGAGTTATAGAATTCTGAGTTTTTTTCAATAATTTTCAAGGCAAATAATTTACATACTATTATATTTTAAAAATACGTATTTAAAATGAAAGGACAAATTTTACTTTATCCATGCTTATCTGATTAAATTATTACAATAATATAATATATTATTATAAAAAAATTTCTTTTATAAAAAATTGTTCAATATACTCTTAAAGAATTTATTATTTTTTGAATATATGTATTATATAATGTATGTTGTTTGATTTTGCTAGTAGAGCATTAGATAACATATTACATAAAGAGAATAAATATTGTTCAATGTTCACTGAGACATGGATCGTATAAATATCATGGTAATGATTTATTATAACTGTATTATGTGTAGTGTTATTAAATAAAATATCTTTAATTTTTTTTTTTAGTTCTATTTTAATATACTTTGTATTAATATTTTATAAGCATTACACGAGTAATGCTTTATTAAAAGTATTTTATTTTATCATTTTGCATGTTGTTATATTTTATTGTACGAAGTATGAGAATCATATTATGATATGTATGATATAACAGTATGTTAGAGCATCAAATATTGTAAAAATCTTTAATATTATTAAAATAATTTTGATTTTATTTATTTTAGTAAACATTTTAATCTGGTTTATGGTGAAATATTTGAACACTATAATAATAATAAGTTTATTTTAACGGCTAATTTTTGTGATTAGATAATGAAAATCTATTTACAATAGTTACAAGTTGATATTTGCTTTTTCAATCTCTACATTATTCTTTAATTGTCTATCTCGGTTATATATTAAATTTTCTTTAACTGTTAAAATATTAATTTGAAGTCTATCTACGTGTTTTCATTATATCATTTTCCATAGTCACTTATTCGTTTCATTCAGTTGCTAAGTATTATTATTATAATGCATTATCTTAAAATATTGTTCATTTATATCAAGTCTAAAAATAAAGATAAAAAAGAATTTAAACTTTATATTAATTGAGTAATATACTTTTCTATACATTAATTGATATACGAGTGTGTTAGTGACTTTTTGGAATTTATGTCATTATTTAAAAATTTAATGAATCAAAAAATTGAATTTATTAAATGTATATATTAAATAAATTATACATATTATATAAATATTATGTATAGAAAAAATAATGAAAATAATTTGAGGTTTTTTTAATTTATATTATTAAAAACAATTTTATGAATACTCAGAAGTATTAATTTCATGAATTAAGTGTCCAGTTTGTGTAAAAAATGATCACACTAAGTGGAAACACTATTTATTTATTATATATTTAATCTGATATCATTGGCTTGTTAAAAAAAAAATATTTATTTTTTGTTACTATAGACAGTCACGATGGATGGTACTTTTGAGTTTAAAAATTATGTAAAATTGGAGACACCTGCTCTGATACCTTTCATTTTTCAAATTATACCAGGATCCTGTCAAAACCCTATTACTGCGATAAGTCATTCGTTTTGTTGGATGTTACAATGAGTTGACGCCGACGGGACTTTGGGTTCGGCCTGTTTGTGGTTGGACGAGGATTTGATTTATGTCTTTTAAACATAGATTCTATTTTACTGTGTGTAATTCTTACTTGCAACCATCTAGCAAGGAAATAGGTTTATAAATATGAAAGCCTTTTAAAATTAAGAAATAGTGAAAAAATCGTTGATGGACTCTTGGGAAGTGACTTTGTCGAACGGATTAAAACCAGTGACAGCAGATGATGGGTTTTCCCTTCCCCCTCTTCTAGTCATTAACGGTAAACTTGTCGAAATATATTTGTCTTTGGATTACATCTACACAATCCTACTCGACAGTCGAACGTTCTTTAATTGAAAAATAAACACAGTTGGGCATCTCTTTCCTCAAAAAAAAAAAAAAACACAAAAATACTTTAATTCACCGTTGTACTAAAGAATTAGTTTAGTATTTAATTTAATTGAAAAATAGACAAAATTTGAATCGTTGGACAGAGAATAATTATTCGATGAATTTTCAATTAGTTAAAGTATAAACAGTAATAATTAAGTTAAAATATTTACGGATTAAATAAACAAAACAACTAAGATTTTAATCATTAGAAAATAAAATAAAATATTGGCAAATTATATTAATAATTAAGAGGATAAAAAAAAAAAAAAAAAAAAAAAAAATGAAAGATTGTAGAATATTATTAAAGCTTTAATAATATAAAAACTTTTAATAAGTTTATAGTATATTATTTTTAACAATAGAATATAATACATAATATACCTTTTATACATATAACCTTACCTAGCATCAAATATTAATATATATATAGATATTTTTGTTGATTATTTTTATACATGTTAGTATACTTTTTCATGAAATTCCAGGTTAATATTTATAGGTTACATGTTCATCTATACTTACATCATATAAATACCTATTAATATAATTTTTGTCGTTTATGTTGTAGGAATAAATGCTTAAAATGTATAAAAAAAAAATATATAATAATAAATCAATAAATGAATTATAAAATAGTGTTATGAAAATATAATTTTGATATTTTGTTTATGCTTTTATATAATATTTTAGCAACGTGTTGAAATATAATGAAATAAACATGTTAAAAACATTTACTCTTCATAATTTAAAACAAACAATAACTTTTGAGTGACAGTATAGCAAAATGAGTAGATTATAATATGAAAATATATATAAACAAAATTTAATTATACGCAAATAAAAAAATATTAATATTTTTGTATTATAAAATAAGCAAGGTTACGTTAATTTTATGATTTGTTTTGAAATTTTACGTAACATACTATTTACAATAGGTAATGTTTAATCAATAAAATACAAGCTCGATAGAATAATAAAAACTGACACGATTTTGATGATTTTAACAATTAAAATAAATAAAATAAAAATAAAATAAATAAAAAAATATTTTTTATAAATTAGTTTGTAAGTAGATATTTAATATTTTTTTAAATCATATGAATTTTTATATAATTTTTATTTTTAAACATAATAAATTTTTACGGAGTTGTTAAATACAATCCCATACATTTAAATAAATCATTTGTTTGCTTTTTCAAAAACAATTATTATTTATAAGAAAAAATAAGATTATTAAAAAAGATTTTACATTAGTAAAAAAAAATAGCTTATTATATCAATAATAATATAATTTTTTGAGTTGAATTTATTGTTTTTTATTAGACAAGTAAAATAATAAAAACCAATTTATAAGCAAGAATTGTATAGTATTATTTGTTATTTAATTTAGTGTAAGCATAGTGATAGTTTTTGGGCGCTAAAAAAATAAATGATATTAAAATATTTCAATCAATTATTAAATAAAAATAAATATATATATTAACTTGCGTTTGAAATTGTTTATAATGACGTTCGAGAGATAAGGGAAAATATATCATAATAACTGATAGTCACAATAATCAATATTAAAAATAAGATCATTACCAAATATCAACACCAATTATGTATAACGAAAACATAAAATTCTTTTTTACGACATTTTATTTTTAAGTGAGCTATACTTTAATAAATAAATAATTTACAAAAACTATTCAGTCATTTGCGTGTTTTTATTTTTTATCGTACACGGCACACTGCAGCATTTATTCGCAGTTTTCCGATGAGATTCGTTGTTAATTAATAATCATTGAAAAATTGACTAAATATTATGCGGAAATCAATAACTAAATTTTTTTTCATATGGTCTACTTCTGTCAACATTTTGGTTTATGTCCATAAAAATCTATATTTTATTAGAGCCGAACCCATATTGATTTCATACGTCACAATTTTTCAACTCATTGTGTATTGATGAATTTATATTCTACATGCAATATAAAGATAAAAGCTTTCATACATTTCAGACTTTGAGCACATCGATTCTTATAATAGAAATGGAGAAAATTTAATAATTGTGATTCTAGGGGTGGATGTAAGTTGAGAAATATTCTATTATAAGAGTACTATTATTGTCGATTGTACTATCAACGTCTGTGTGCTAATATTAATTTACATGGTTATTTGTACACTGCTGGAGTGTTCTTGTGATTTCTCTCCATTTTCATCGAGTGTTAATGGCCTCGGGTCAGAATATTTCACTGACCGCTGTGACCGTTTGTTCGTTTCGTAGTGAGAATAAAAATATAAAATATGGCTGGAATAACTATAAGACGATAGCTAGGTATCTACAGAGATAGGTACTCACGGTTTCAGCAGTGTGTAGTGGTTGTTCAACGGGTCTAGTTGATAAGCACCCTCCACGGCAGACCACTCTAAGTTCAGCTCTTGCGCTGCATCTTTCAGTTGTTCGTACGCGTCCTCCGCTATGCACACCGGTGCGGGGCATGGTTGATGTTCATCGCCCACCAAACACTTAAAAAAGCAAACAACGTTGAGTTCCAGATAAAAAAAATCGTTAACTTATTTAATAAAATGTGTGTGTTCGTTTAAAACACATTATACTTTTTTTGGCCGATTGTACTTCACAAAAACTGGAAAAAAAATTACAATTTTTTTTCTATTCAAGCTTTAAGCATGCATTTTAGATGAATTTATAAAATCTAATTAATTGAAGAATTTCACAATAGGATGTAGTGAATTTATAAAATTATTTGTTCAATATGTAGATATTTATAATTAGTTTTAATTTTTCAATTTAAAATTTTTACTAAGAATAGCTATAGTTTTTATAATATTGTTTTATTCATTAATACTCGTAATTATATTTTATTATGTCATACATGAACCATAGAAATATTGTAGTTTTTTTTAATTGATCAGTCTTTTTACATTTTAAAATTTATTGTATAATGTTTAGGTGTATATTTTCTATACTTATAAAAGAAATAAAATAAGAATATAAACGAATATAAGAATAGTGGATAGAGCCGTATTTGTATTATAAAGTAATGGATTATTGATTATTATCTTATGAAAAAAATTATTATAGTTAGTCAAAAATAATAAGGATTAAAATAAGGTTTATCAAAAGTTATTCTCATATTTTTTTTCTAAAGCTGCTAGGAATTTTAAAAAATGACATAGTTAAAGTTGTACTAAATCTTAAATATCCAATACAGGTAGGAGATTTGCTGCACGTTAAGAGCACGACCAGTCACGCATCTAAAACGACTTCCTCCACCGTACCACTCATCATAGTATGTGGAGGATGGAGTTTGGAAAACCAATCAGAAGTCAACTATGGATAACGGACGCAAAATCGGTCGCCACCAGGTCATGCTCTTACGGCGAGTATACAGTATGAATATTTTTTAGTGTTATAATCTAAAAAAAGATTTTCTGAAAAGTAAGTATTAAAATGATTTTTGATACTTAAATCACCTTTAAATTAATTTTTAAAATAATTTATTGACTATTTTCTTAATAAATAATAATTACTTGGTATTTATACATATTTTATTGGAATTAAATTTATGATAAAAAAAAGTAGTTATAAATAATTGTGTTAAACTTATTTTTGAAAGATAACTTATACATTTATTAATTAATCATAACTAATTAATTTGAATATTTAAAGTAAATTCTTTTATGAATACCATAATAGGTAATACATTGTAGATGGGTAACAATAGTCAATATTTATTTTTAATTCATGTATAGGCAGTTCACAAACGATTAGAATTAGAGTTTATAAATTATAATAAAAAATTACCATATAAATTCTAAAAAGTATTGAATATTTTTTTTTTTAGAATATAAACAATAAATTAGTTTATTTCATAACTTACGTAATGAAATCTGTAATCAATAAAAATAATGAAAAAGTTGATGTATTATAGGTACTCGTAAATAATATGCATGTTGCATAATAATAATATGATACATAATACATTGTACTCAAAATGTTTTTGTAAAAATAAAACATTGATATTGATTGCTTGAGGGAAACTAAACAAATAATTTACTAATATTTTAAAGCATAGAAAGTATTTTATTTTATTTTTATGTCAAAAATATAATTGAGATGTTTAAGTGTTTTGATTATTATCTAATATAACTTTGTTGGATTTAGTTACAGATATACATTAGTATATAGTACATATATGGAGTATAATTAAAGTAAGTATAAAGCGGAAGTATTTTCATCAATGCATTAAAATTCCATTTGTTCATTCTTGTAATATTAAACTGATATAATAAGTACGTGTTCTTTTGTTATTGCCTATTTGAGCGTATTTTACACTTAAAAATTTTACAATAATATGATATTGTATTATATTTTACCTTATAACGGGAAATTGTGATAATATTTTTAGTACGACATATTTGTTTAGAAATATCTTTTTTTTTGATTATTTCAATACTTTTAAAAATGACAAAAAAAAAAAAAATCCAATTCGCTTTGTCAGACTTACATAGAATAATATATAATTTCAGTTTGTAAACAATTATAACTTAATGTCATTACTGTAGTTATTGTCATTTCATAATTTATAGAATCAAAATAAAAATCTCTTTGTAGGTATTTCACGTACCTAACTAAAGTCCTTAAAGGTATCAAACTCTTGAGACTATTTTCTATGCAAATCCAACTTATGGACTATAAAAAACCACAGAGGGATAAAAAATAAATAAGAATAGAATTAAACGTGACTAAAGAATATTTAAAAAACGCTCATGACCGTGCAAACAGACCATTTACATTTTTCTTAAATGTAAACTTTTACTTAAGTAAAATATCAAGCCTTTAAGGCTTAAAGTTCATTACTACATAAAAAATAACTTTGTTTACCAACACAGATTTAATACTACTGTTGAAATGAATCAAATTTCAAACTGACAAAAAAATCCTGGTGTCTTTTTAAATAGTATACATTATGTGTACATACCAAAAAGAAACATCCCCGGGAAACTTTTCGGCAATTCCTTATTTCATCCAAATGTTCTGCGAATAAAAATGGATTTTTCATTGGATCCAATTCACTGCCATAATGCATGTCGACGAATTCTACCTGTAAAGAAAATAAAACATTGAATATATTAAATTTTCAAATATATAAATTTTGTTTCATATTCCTACACGCGCAATAAAATTGGATCAAAGAGATGTAAGTGTTACATAAAATATGGCTTGGAAACATAAATAAAAATAAATAATAATAAATAAATATACTTAAATGCATTAAAAAATAGTGTACCTACTATTAAAATAAAGTCCAATATTTGTTTATTAAGTAAATACATAAGTAATGATTAAATAAAATATATATGTGTGTTATAATTCTAATAATATTTGAAGTAGACAAGATAATTTAACTTAAAAGTTTTTTTTGTATTATCTAAATTCTCAAAACTGTAAATTCGTGAGCAATTATTGATATAAACTATAAAATAAAATTGTTAATAACATAGAAATAGTAGTTGAAAACCATAAATCTTATTCAGGGAAAATTCAGACATAATTTTCCCAAATAAATGTAACTAATAATAATAACAATAATGATAATTTGAATGTAAATAAATTTCTTATTATAAACTGTTAATCATATTTTTAATAAATTTACATTTAAACAGTTTATTGGTTATCATACTTTTATATATTGAGAATGTACTTGTTAGCTTAAACCTTAAAATGAATTCATGATTGTAATAAGATTTTCCAGTCTATCTAATATTTACAAATAAATATTACACTTTGTATATCAGTATTTATCGCTTTGAATGTTCGACATAAAATATTTAGACTTTGATGTTATAATAATTGATGTTTATTAGTCGTCGAAAAGGTATAATAATATAATACGTAATGAGTTAACGAAATCATTTTCCATGGTTCAACGACAAGATTGAATGATACGTTATAATGGTACTTGGTAATGGGGCAGTGGAGCACTATTGTATGTAGGATGATACAAATGATTCAATTATAGAATACGGTATATATTATTTAGAATAATACAATATCACAACTGCAGTAAATTATGGAGTATTTATTAGATCAATTTGACACTTATCTGACAGTTGAAAACGGTTTGTACATATGATTTTTAATTATCGATTTTAAGCATGGATTCTGATAGAGTCTACAGCGCCGTAAATGAAGTATTATGAATGTATGTATAATATAGTATATAGTCACGAGTGTAGCAATCTTTTGTTAGTTTGATGACACTTATTTTCGCTATTGGTTATTACCGTCTGTCGATTTTATTGTGTGAGGTTTTTGCTGAATGATTATTTTTTTCTTGATGTGAAGTATTTTTTACAAAAGAACTGTGTGTAATATGTTGCTCGTCGATAATGAGTAGCGTGTACGTTAAGTGTGGCGTAACAACAAATACATTTATTAATCGCATACTCATTTTTGCTGCCGGGAAAAAGCGTAAATTTTTTAATGTTGTGTAAGTTTTTATTGATCGTTTTTCTGATATGATTTAATTATATATACATGGTCGGGAAGGTTTTAAGTTTTTAATTACGTAAAATATAACAGTTATGACTTACAACCCTGTAAAAATGTGGAGTGAAACGTTAATGAAATTACGATATTAACTATTAGGATTATTGATAGATCGTCTGTGTAATCTTATCTATAACCATAAAAATACAAATTTAATCTATGAATATTTATATTTCAAATATTTCAATGAACGTCTAACAACTATAATAATACTTAAACGAATATATTTATAGATATTAATATTATCTCCGAAAGGTAAATAAGATTATTATCGATTGTTAATAAATTAATAATAATCATCCTGATTTCTAATGTTTCCATTATTTGATACATTTTTTTTATTTCTTTCTTAAAACAACACCAAATTTTTTTAATTTGTAGGAATTTTATTTTTTATTTACACCATAATGGTAACCGATGAATTATAATCGTCTTAAAACAATAAAATTCGTAAAAAAATATTTTATTTAAAATTGATTGGCACATTCCGATAATTTTATAAAATATTGCTCGCTTATTAATCGACTTCAAGCAAAGTTAAATAAGCCAAGTTAAAGTTAATTTGATATGAAATTAAAATCAGTAGATTAAGTTAAAAATGACTTTAACTGACGAACTCTAATCTTGTTAAGGTAACAATTATCCGTATATCCGTACCGTAAAACAAGATGAGTGGTCCGGAGGAAAAAAAATGTAGTATTTAAAAGGAAAAAAAGGAAAAATTGACCATAATATATTACTATACTTTACATCCCGAGTACGAATTTTAAAATGTTTGAGCAGATTGAAGCATTTTACGAACGAGTTATTACATAATATATACATATATGCATATATATTATGTACATTTATATATATATATATATGATTATAACCCATTTCCGAGAAAATGCATTTACGCTCATCAAACGGCTCACATTTGAACGACGTTACCTACATTATAAATCCCCCGGGAGGCTTTGACGTAAGATTATGTGTTCCACGTCGTAGTGTGCAGTTGCGTGAGAAGAACCTGTAAAGTGTCGGCGGTGGCTTATTGGTGGACCGATATGCGGTTCTTATGTATTATGTATACTCGCCTAACTTATCAAGCGTCACCGTTTTCCGCCAAAATTGACCTTTTTCTTTACCGCCAAGTCCGTTTTCTAATAAATATAATAATATATATTTCCATTTTCCACCATCGCAAATTTCAGTTTTTATATTTTAGTTACTCATTACTGTAAGAATTGAAAAATTATATTATACGAGTATATCAGGTAGATAATATGTTCACAATCATGTCTTTTCTTAATTAATAGAAATGAAAGGGTAGATTATGTTCGCAATACACGTTACAATTGACAATTAAGTCACAGTTTTGGCATATGGTTTGATCTTTCATCGATTTTAAGATACTTATTACATTTTAGTTTGAGTTGAAGTTCGTGAGAAAAGGATACATTTAGCATGATGGAAAATATAACTGAGAGTAATCGTGGTAAAAGCAGTTAATTTAAAAAAATTTAAAATTTCATTTCGAATTGGTTCGTATAATAAAAAATTTATTCGTTGGAGATGTACAACTAACAACTGTACAGCAAAAGTCTATACAAATGAAAAATATAAAACTATTAACAATAAAAATACGTTACAGCACAATCATGATGAATATTCTAGCAAAGCATTGAAGAAGTTAGTGATAAATACAGTATAATATAAAAGAAAATTTATTGAAAATGTAGGTACAAGACAAAAAAAATTATTTTAACTGAAATTGTACAAAATAATAATCCATGAGACATTACCATTTATGATAAAAATAGAATCAGTAAAAATAACTATGAAAACTAACGCAAAATTATGCCTCAAAATTCTACTAATATGCTCATAACGTAGGTACTTAATTTAATTGACGTGAAAACCAAAGAAAATGGAAATTTTTAATTGATTAATGACAAAAAATAAAATAATATTTCTATGTGAAAAAAATCTTAGATTTTTATCAACAGTTGAAGGTAGTTTTATAAGGATGGAACTTTCGATTATTGTGTTCGTTTTTTTTAATAGTCATTACGTCCCATTAGTTTTTTCGCTTATTATCAAAAAAATGTATACAAACGTATATTTATGTTTTTCATGAAATAAAAAAAAGTGAAAAAACTTGGGGTTAATTTTTTATCTCCCTAAAGTAACTGTTAACTTTGAAAGGGCAATATTTAAGGTAATTTTTGAAATGTGGCCGCAAACTAATATTTCAGGAGGTCGGCTTCATTTAACTTTGGTAATCTTGATTTTGTAAAATACAAGAAATTGGCTTAATGAGTTTATGTAAAAACAAATCATCTGAAATTGTTAAATGGTTACATATTGTGTTTGGTGTATTATTTGTAAATCTGGAAGACGTAAATGATCGTTTTGTCAACATATTTATGAGCGAATATCCGACTGATGAAAGATTACAAAAATTTTCCGACTATTTTGTAGAAAGATTATATTTATCTCCAAAAACCTTGAGTATTTGCATCTTCTAAGCTTACACGCACAAAAAACGCCTGTGAGTCATTTCATGCATATTTAAAAAATAGTTTTTATAGACATTCACCATCTATTTTACAATGGTTAAATGTTTTAATCGAATGAGTGAAATTTATTTGACGTTTATTTCAAATTAAGAGATACCGTAAATAAAAAACACCCCAAAACTAAATACATTTTAAACTGATTATAAAAAAAAAAAAAAAAAAGAAGAAAGAATAGTGTTTAATTGATCAATATAAAAGAGGAAAAATATGCCATTGTATGGTTATAAAATCCACAGTGTGTAACTAAAAAAAATAATAAAGTTTATAAAATACAATATTAAATAGTTTTAAAATCAATATTATTAATTTTTGACTTGATTTTGTATAACTTACAAACGTATTTAATTTATACAATATTATTACAAAAACATTCTATGTTTGAAATAATATAATTATTACTTAAATGTGGTTTTTTTTAAATATTTTACATCATCTTATATAGACAATAAAAGAGTATTTATTCAATGTTTAAAAAAAAAAAATTATATTTAGCTAATAATCGATTATTTAATTATTATTTAATTTTAAAACTATTTTCAATCATCAATAACTTGGCGGAAACGGAAAAATATAAATTATTGTTCTGGTAGTAAACGGAAATGTTGATTTTGGTGGAAAAGTGAAAATCCTAATTTATCGATGTTCTTTATCAGAATTAGGTTGATAGACTATTCTAGATTTTTGATTTTATCGGTCGAACGTTGGTCACGATGGTTATTTATTCCCTGGAGACCATTAAAATCTAAAATCGATATTACTCACGCTTGTATCGTGTACCAATTAGTTACATTTATATGTAGTGTACATATCATGATATGATCATAATTATTATAGTCATATATATTATATGTACTTGCAAAAGATTGCGAAAGGTTTCATCGAATGATTACAAAGCGTTTTTATTGCAAGTAGACCCTCATCTATTAAGAGCACATTTTATTAAACATTATATATTATATATGTGAGTATATATATGTATAAATATTAT